GCTGCTTAGGAGCTGATGATGCTAATGAAGACAATGCAGAGTTTTGGCCCAAGAAGGACAGCAGAGTCACTCTTTCCCTGCGGCACTCCTGGGCCAGTTAGCAAAAGCTGCTGTGCTGTGATGTACCCAGCACCCACAGCGTTGCAGCGGTGTCTGTAATCACTCACCCTTCGGGCACTGTGGTTGGATGGTGTTGGCCTGCTCCAAACAAGGTTCAAGGGAAGCAGTTGTGCTCCTCGTGGCCCATCTGTGGGTCACCTGAGTCCACAGATCTGGCTGGCCTCTGCTCTTGCTTTCTTTCAGACTCCTTGGACAAGGAGACCAGTCAGGGATGTGTCCTTGTGGTAGTGTTAGACAGACAGGAGAGCTTCAGAGCTGCCTGAGGCCACTGAGGCCTGAGCTTGGTACTGACACACTGCCCCTTTCTCCCACACATCACTGGCCAAAGCCAGCAAGATGGCTCCCAGAGCCAGGAAATAACACTCCTCGAAGGAGGAGGCTGTGGCACAGGAAAAGATGTAGGGAGTGGGAAGAATCAACAGCACATCTCACCCCTACCCTGACTGAGGCCAGCACCCCTTGCAGCTAGCACTGTCAGGAAAGAAGTGAGGAGATGGGCAAAGTGGTCATCATCACAGCCCAGAATAGATCTGGTCCCTGGCCAAGGGGTATCTAATACTATTAATAATGAATTAGCAGTGTTCTCCCAGCTTGGTTGTGAGCCCTATCCTGTGCCATATGCTTTGAGGGAGATAAGCCCCAATTCTATTTTCAGAACCCACTGTCCTTAGAGAGATAAGACTCTGTTCAAAGGTGATGATCAACTCTATAATGCAGGTTGTGGGGTCCAGAGAAAGGGGAGTCAGCAAAGGCTGGGGAAAACCTAGATGAGGAGAGGAGCAACACCAATAGCAACACCCAGGAGCACATGCTGCATGCCAGGTTCTTCCGTGTCTTACTCCCTCTGCTGACTGCCCAAGACATGCCAAGATTGTGCCCCATTTAACAGATGAAGAAACAGAGGCATGAGCTCAGGTAACTCACCTATGGTCAACATTGGCACCAACACTGGACAATCAGAGCCTGAGTGTTAATCGCTAGGGTCCACGGCCAGACACCTGAGGAGAGGGGGACCTCAAAGATGCAGACAGATGTGCAGAGAGGCCAGCCACCGGGGGCTGGAGCTGCCAAGGGGACACCAGCCATGGTATGAACTATAAATGGGAGCAAAGATAGGATGTGCGATTTGGCCAAGGTCCTGCAGCAAGATCGGGTGGAGGCTGGGGAGAAATCCTGGCATTGGCTCCTGTTCCCTTGCCTTCCACTTTCCTTGGTACCGGCGGGTTCTGGGCGCTCTCCACCGTCTGCGTGGCCACGCCTGCTGCGCTTCCCTCTTGGAAGAGGTGCGATCCACTGGCGTTGGAGCCGGGTGGACTGGCTCCCTTTCTATCCATCTCTTTCTTCCTTTCCCCTGCCATCTTCTGGAAAGGGCAGCGGGAGGGAATGTGGGCAGGTTGCACCAGAGATATACATCTGAGAGCTGAAGGGAACATTTATTTTTAATGTAGACTTAAAAAGAAAAAAGGAAGTTATAAAATATCTGCTCTTGCTCCTGGGATTGTGCAGATGGTGCTGCATTTTGCCTAATAGGGAATGGGGCTGGCATCGCATCTGTTAGTCCCTGCCTGGCTGTAAGGACCTGGGGAGCAGCATCCCTGCTCCCCGGCCCCAGCCCCAATGACTCCCTGGGATCTGTTTGGCAACACAACTTGCTGTTCACTTCCTCCTAGCCTTCCCCTCTCCAAATTAGACTGCCTTCTGCTGATTTCCCAGACCTCCTCAGTCAGGACAGGCACTGCTCCTGTCTCACACACACACACACACACACACACACACACACACGCACACTGAAGTTCAGTTCTACCTCCTCCTTTGTCAGATAATGTGGGCATGCTGACCTGCCCTTCGCTGGCCCCTATTTGGATGTTAGGTTGATTAACGTTCTATGCAACTATATGTCTCATTAATCGATCTTGCCATTTTCCTGGGTATATAAAGGATCTTCTCACACACTTCCTTGTTTGGTCGTTGTGTTGGTTGTGGTTAGGGGTCATGATCCCTCTTCTCTGATATTACACATTGGGAGCAGCATGAGATGTGGGACAGAGACAATGCTCCATAAACAGGCTGAGCTGCTGACTGAACCCCTCTTCCTTTGTGCTCAGGGTGAACTGGAGAAGGACTGCCCTACAAATCAGAATTGGGTGACCAAGCCAGGGATCGGGACACCTGGCTCTTTCTCTAGTTTGCTATAAAGATGGGCAGATCACTGAATTTCTCCAAGTCTTAGTTTCCCCATTTGTAAAATATGGCAGGTAATCTCTATTTTGTATGATCCCTAGAGTTATGATGAGGTGGTGACATATGGAGAAATGCGTGGCAAAAATCAATCAATCTCTTTAAGAAACATGAGATTTGTTATATCAGTTAAGGTGCCCACATGGACACCAGGCCTATGTTAGGGCAGGAAGTGGGTGGGAGTTGTCCAACAAGGTGGAAAGCTCATGGTCACAGGCTTATGTGCAAAGCGTGTGTGGGCAAGTATGTTTGTGTGGGTACTGCCTGGTAGTGCAGTTTAGGGCTCTGGATTTTTCTGGAAAAGACTTGATAACATTTTGAAAAACTCAGTCCACAAGGTAAAGGAAGTGAAGGTGAAAATGGGACACAAAGGGAGGAGAAGGGAGGATGAAGCCAGGAGTGAGTTCCAGGGCCAGGAAATGCGCCATGTGGGGGGCTGTACCCTTGGCAGATGTGGCGGTGGAAAGTGGCCCAGGCTCCCGCATGGTCAGTGCAAAGAGAGCGGTAGGTCCAGGGTCTGCAAGATACATGGAAACCAGTTGGTCAGAAGTATAATTTCTGACCTTGAGATCAGAAAAAGTTTCTCCCAAGAGGATTCATGAAGAGGACCCTGTGATACAATGAGCAGAGTCCTTTGAGATATGTTATGTACATATGTGATCACTATGTATTGCAAACATGTGCTAATGAAAAAAATTTTGGTAAATATTTCACTAAAAAGTACCACAGGGGTGGGAGGAAATGAGCAGTGTCCTGGTGAATAGTTGTGGGGAAAATGCAAGGAGTTCCCTGGGGTTGTTTCTTACGATGTTCCTAGTGACCTGAGCACACTTCCCGGATGAGGTGAGGATTCCAGGTGAGAAAACAGTGCAGTCCAAAGCAGATTGTGCTATATAAGCTACAGATTTATAGGAGGGGATGAGTACTACACAGTGGATGGCAGGGATTGTCCCAGGCTTTCAGGGGTAGTCAAATACGCATATGCGTTTGCATACGCGTATACACACACACACACACACACACACACACCACCCCTCTCTAGGCTCAGCCTTTCTCTATTTGGGCCCTGAGTAGGAGGAGCGCCTGGGTCTCCCGGCACTCCTCAGCATGTAGGATCCCATCACAATGAGGCTGTTTCTGTTGACTTCACACAGAACCTGAGAACAGAATTTTAAACCAAGGTAAGACCTCCACGGTCAAGCCCTTCATTTGTAGGATAGAAAGCTAGAAACCCCAAAGGGAATTGTCTTCCATCAGAGACCACAAGGGTGGAGCTGAAGCTGAGCCCTAAGGTCCCCTGACTTTCAGTCCAATCCCCTGAGCTGCCACTGCAAAGAAACATTGAATAGAGGGCGGGGATGCAGCTCGCAGTGCCTTCCTGGCAAGCATGAGGCCCTGAGTTCAATTCCCTGTACCAAAAAAGAAAAGTGGAAAAAAAAAAACTGAATAGAAATCTTATTCTAGGAGAAAAATCTCACAAGAGAACTCCTCACTGGCGCTACAAAGTGGCTTTACATTATATAATTTTATTCAAACTGATATGGGCCAATAAATATAAATGTGTGTGTGTTCACTGTTTTAAAACATTTTAATGTTTAAAACATGATTTACTAATGCTACTGAGGATATCTAGAATTTGATTTACTGCATAGTATTGAAAGTTTATACTTATTCCTTACAGAAATTCTTGCCAAAGAGCCATTTTATCTATAGGAATAATAAATAAGTCAATATGTGGATGGCTGTGCACATTTTTCCCATATGCAGTGGTACTTGGTAGATGCTATTTTGCACACAAACACTTAAAAGGTAATCTTGAGGGATATCCATGGACCCTTGAAGTCTAAGGCATGGCCAGTGTCAAGATCACAGTTAATCTTGACCTAAACCAAAAAAGCAGTGTGTGAATCTATCTCTCAGGTGCTATTTGGGCTTTGGGAGTAATGGATCCACTCCTGTGTGTCCATACTCAGTCTTACATACGTATCTGTTCATTTCTGCATTCCTGCATTCATCCACTCAACAACCATTTATTAGACATCTATTTCCACTCAGTAGGTTAAATATGGTGTAAGTTTTCACTTCATTAAGATTCAGAGATAATAAAGTCCCCCAAATTCTATTTATAAAACACTTAAAGTGTTTGAAACAATTATTATTTAATCTCCACAAAAATCCTCTAGGATGGCTAGGGCACGAAGTTCAGGTCACCTGAGTGGACATGGAAGTGTTCCTTTGTTTGCTTGTTTGTTTTTATTGGCTCCTTTAAATTATGGAAAGAATGCATATCCACTGCTAATAAGAATAGAGAAATATCTAAGAAGAATGTGAGGAAGTAGCCTATGATGACCTCCAGAGAAATCCACAGTTAATAGTCAGGCCGTGCTACAAATTTCTTCATGCTTGGAGACATATATGTATATGTGTTTGTGTATATGGCTATATATGACTTCTTTGTATATAAACAGAATTATGCTATAGTATAATCCTGCAACTTGATTGTTTTCATTGTATACCATGTCACCATAGGCATGAGTTCGTACAGGTCCAGCTCACTCTTGTTCACAGATGTGTATTTCTTCTGTGCAAAAGTATGAGATGTTTCTTTTGCCATCTTCAGCCTAGTTCTTCTCTTGGTCTAGGTTGTGGGTCTTCTCCTGCCCAACCAGACTCTGGCATCCACTGTCTTCTGGCAGGTAAGGGTCTCCACAAGCAGAAGGCTCTTCAAGGAGGGATCTAGACAAGTGCCAGTTGGGAACTCCCTACCCTAGGTCTCCTGCTCTGTTCAGGACCCTGCTCCAGCCCAAACACTACTGGAGAAAAAAACCAAGACAGTGGCCTAGCTGAACAGGCTTCCAGCAGCCCAGCATGACTTCGCCATTATGTGTCACTCCAACCTTTGGATGGAGATTATGAAGGGACTGGGTGACCTGCCTGGGACATGATGGCAGCCCACTTTGTCCCTTAACTATATGTCTTATGGCCCATGATCTGAGGTCCACAGCCTCATTTTGACATCAGTTCACCCAACTCTGTAGGTGACGATTAAACCACTCCAATCCCAATGTAGTGAAGTGCATCACAGATGCCCTTCCTCTCTTCATGGGAAGAGTCCAGTTAGTTGTAGCTCCCTGAAAACAACTGAAGATGACTCTTTGTGTCTTTGTAGGGGAAGGGGATGGAAAGAAAATCTGTCTTTGGGGATAAAATGTTAGAGAAGCTTCCTTTTACAAAATTTCTAAGTGTCTCCATGCCTGGGCATTGACGGTGTACACACCTGGGAGTTTGGAAAAATGACTCCACCTTCTGTCCAACAAGTACTATATTGAGGATGATGTGGCAGAGGTACTGGGGCAGTGGATGTCACAGTTCCAAGAGAGGGACCCGACTCTGCATGGGGCTAGCTGCTGTAGTTTGGCAGGAAATGAGGGGTTTTCTGAGATTTGACACTTTCAGTGCTAATGGTGGCATAGCCCCGGGAAAACTGGGTCAGTTGGGCATGCTAACCAGTGGAGTGGAGCTGGAGACTGTCCTGTCTTTCTGGGTGTGTGTGGCCTGCCAGGGATGTGACCACAGCTTGTTTGACATCTTCTCTCCCTGCTGCCTTTCAGTGGCTGAACCAGAGCCACAATGCCTGTGTCAACTATGCAAACCGCAATGCTACCAAGGTGAGTGTTACTGCCCTCTGCCTGGGGGTGGGTTCAGACTGGGAGGAACCTAGTCTTCCCTACATTGTGACATTTCGCTATTTCTGGTCTTATCATTGGCCTCCTGTAGTACCTTATTTTTACTGCCAGCTCCTCTGCCAAGACAACAGACCCAGCTTACCTGGCTAGAGCCAACTGGAGCCTCCAGGCAGGGCCTGTAAAGGAGAGTGTCTGGGGAGTCATGCAAGGGATGAGTTCTTCTGGCTTCAGAATTCTCCTTGGGCAGCTCTTATACTCAGGTTGTGGATTCAGATGGTGTGAGTCTCCTGGAGAATGACCCTCCTACCGTGTCCTCCAAGTTTTCGTGGAAGCTGCCCAGCTCCTAGAGTGCTGACCACAAAGCTTAAGGGCTGCTCTTGAGGGATAGGGGTCTGAGAGGCCTGGGACCTTTTCCCTCAAGTCCCCTGCACCCTGGAACAAGCCCATTGTGGAGGTCAGGTCCCTCTTCTGTTGTCCAGGAAGAGCTGCTGGGTCGCTGCTTTGCTGCAATGCCACCTCTCTTCCTAGCCAATCTTTACTTCAATCCAAAGGCAAAGGGCAGAGAGAAGGAATCTAGATCCCTCTTGGGGGCCATCTGTTTGGGAAAGGGAGGATCTTAGCATATTCTAATGCTGGAGAAGAGGTGGGTGAGGTTAAAACCTGCCTGAGCAGCAGGAACTTCAGGGTCCTAAGACTCAGGATGCCTCCCCACTGCTGTACCCACACACTAAGGCTCTCTTACGGGCTTCATGTCTTTGCCTCTCAGCTGGGCTGGCTCCTGTTTACCTTAAACCAAATGTCTCCAAAATTGCAGTTGCAGTAAAAGACATGTTCCTTAGCTTTTTTTTTTTCTCTTTCTTTCTTAATTTTCGGTGTTGGATCTAGGGATCTATTTTTATATAGAAATACTGTCACCTATTGACAGGGAATCCCAGTAGCTGCCTGGGCTGAGGAGACCTGTGAGAGACAGCCAGTCATCAGCTTTGACACTACCATACCGCCTAGTCTGCTCTTGGTGCTAGATGCACACTAGCCTCCCTATTCTGGAGCCCACTGCCTAACCATAGAGGACCCATTCTGCTCTGTCTCTCCCTGCCTCCAGCTGTCAGAGTCTGCCTGTGACTGTTTGACTGTTGTAGATCAGGGCAGAAGGGGAATGGGCCCTTTGGCACCTCCTTGGACATTGCTGCCTTGTGTTCCCATATTTGGAACTGCTGGGGTGATTTGCAAGGGTGGAGTGTGGCGCGTCGGGTGCCCAGTGGGCCTGCAGTTCTGCATCTATCTTCCAGCCTTCCCCGGCATCCAAGTTCATCCAGGGTTACCTGGGAGCTGTCATCAGTGCCGTCTCCATTGCCGTGAGTAACTCCTTGCCCCACCCCTCAGTCCATAGGGCTTGGCCCCACTCAGCACTGTGGGTTGACCCGTGTCCCAGGCCAGGGCTGGAAAGGATGGAGAGATAAGGGTCTATGGGAGCTGTAGGGGCAAGTGTGCCCAGCAGGAAAAAGGCTGTAACAGCAAAAGAGCACTAACCCGTGCTCTAGGATTTGGAAGGAGATGGAACTACTACTCTTCCCCAGGCTCCAAGGTCAGCATGTTTGCCCTCAGTCTTCCTGGAGCTGCTGGTCCTCATGCCTAGGAATGCAGTCCACACGCTGTTGGCCCACAGGCGAACTCCCCTTTCCTTTTTGCCTGAGCTCCCAGGGCATTCCTCCTCTGTGGCCATACTCCTGTGGTTACATGATCAGCCCATCCTGAAGGTCTATAGGCTCCTGAAGACAAGGACATGAGGCTCACTTTGAGCCTTCATAGAACTTCGAGAATAGGGGAGTTTGTAGACTGACTGAGAAAATGTACATGAATGGTGGGTCCCTGTTCCCAAAGAGGGCAGAAAACAAGTGACATAGCTAGGGGCCTGGGCCAGAACCACAGTGGAACCTCAAACTCCTAAGACCTTGTCCAGCCTTGATCCGATCCCGTGCCTACATCTGCCACTCTACATCTCTGTTGGGGTGGACTCCTGTGGCCAACTCCAGACAACAAAATCTCTTTCCACAACTTTGTTGTTTCATTCATTATACAATGCATCCATATAATTGGTAAGAAAAAATTAGAAAATGCAAACCAAAATACAAAGATAATGAAAGAATTTATATATATTAATCTTTTGTTAAAACCCCCTTTCCTCCTCTTCCCTGTACCATTAGATAAATATCATAATGGTTCATGACTGTGTAATAATGCATTGTATCCTACACCACACTCAATTCTGTTGTTCTTCTAAAGTAAAGATTTTTGGGTTCCCTTGAAATGTCCTCATTTATTTCATTTCCACATAGACTATGTCACTTCCAAATGGCTGTTGGTGGTGCATCCCATCGAATGCCCAAGTTCTCTTTCCTTTCCTAAACTCTTACATCAGCATGGGACTTACTTTGTGGAGAATCAGACAAATTGGGGGTTCCTATTTTGGGGGCTTGCTGAGCCAAGGTCAAGGCTTCCACTGAGAGGCAGAAAGGGCTCCTTAAGATGAGAGGAGCTGATTCATGGTCTTCCCAGCTTACCAAATGCAAAACCCCCTTTCTTCCTTGGAGATGTACAGGTGAGGTGGGAAGGAGTAGGAAGAGGAAGAGGTCACAGCCAGAAAGAAGCTGAGTGACCATGAGGGCTTGAGGGAAGGGGATCTCTGTCCTGGTGGGGCACCCTTCCCCCACAAGCCTGGTGGCCTGGAAACCAGAGTGCAGCTTCTGCAGAGAGCTCTGGACTCCGTGTCCCTAGTCCTCATTATCCCACCCAAGGAACCGTAGCAACGCCATGTAGTCACTTTCTTGGCCACACCTGGCCCAGATTGGCGGGTGGTGCTTCTAGACTGGGCCCATCAGAATTACCATGGATGTGGGGTCTCCAGGGCTCCCAGCACTGGGGTCTCTCCAGCAGGGCCTGGGGGCCTCACTCTGGGCTGTGCCGCTGTAAGGAAGTCCTCCTCCCTCCTCCTTCCTCCATATCTAGCCACAGAGGCCCCTGGAGGAGGCTTTTCCTGGCCATTCCAGCCCATACTGCCCTTCTCTGGCCCAAATCCAAGAAACTTGTTCTTCCCACACTCTCAGTTGTGCCCCATGCCCTGTCCTCTTATTGTTCCACAGCCTGAGACGCATCCCCAGCTGGATTACAAGTTAACCAGGGACAGGCCCCAGGTGTCCTCCCCCCAAAGAGAAGAGCACAGAACACTGCTCCATAAATACTATTAATTAGGCTGCTGATTGATTGCTGGCCTCAGGAGGCCCCTCTCCTCTCCCATCCACAAGCCTTAGTGGTGGCAGTGGCAGGTCTCTCTGCCTGACGTCTTCACACAGTGAGGGGCTCACTGCGGCAGATGGAGCGGAGTTTCTGACTTGGAAAATCTGCAGCTTGCTTGCTTCTCTTTTGTGTATATAAATCACAAAACCTCCAAAGAAAGAAGCTTTATTTTATTTTCCTTTCCCTTGTTCTCTGGAACCCCAGGCCCTGCAGCCTCATTAACTGATCTCTACTTCAATTAGTGACAAATCCCCTCCCAGGGAGAGCCTGTTAGGAAGAGATGACCTGCAAACAAGTGTCACGGCCTCAGTGGTTGGCCTGGCTCTGGCATTAATTAAAACGAGTCCCTACAAGCAGGCGGCCTGGATGGGGCTGACAGGCTGAGAGCAGGTTCCAGGGACGGAGGTGACTGGGTGGAGGACAGGCCTCCTCTGTGGACCCGGAAGGGTCCTCGCTCCCTCCCAGAAGAGCTCCTGGCACTGGTCAGCACCCTGCCCCCCAGTCAGGCATCCCCCATTTGCAGGACCCCAGGACCACAAGGGCTAGGAGCCTCTCAGTGAACCTCCTAAATAGATTAGGCATTGTCTGATTGCTTGAGAAGAAAAAAGAAATTCCGTCCTAAGTTATTTTTGAAATCTAACAGTTTGTTGTATTTTAACAAAGGAAGCCTCTCTCCGTCCTCATTGTGTTTTTGTCCTGGAATTTGTATGGAACGCTTCTGTGCTCAGCCCTCACCAGCTCCGCCAGAGCGAGAGAGCGGGCGAGACCCTTGGCGCCCTGCAGGGTGTGCCATGCGCCCAGCACTCTTCGGGGGCTGGGGCCTCAGCTGATGTGACTATCAGGTTACCGAGTGGGGAAACTGAGAGTACTGTGTGGTGTGCTTGGAGTTATTCTGGTGAGGTTGATCCTGGGGCAGGGTGGGGCCGGAAGGTCACCTAAGTCAGAGTCAATGGGTTGACTTGTAGGATGGACAGAGATAGCCAGGGTACAGTGGGGGTGGGGGGTGGGAGACAGAACAGTGTGTGCAGTGGCCCAGGAAGAGAGAGACAGGTCCCAGGCACTTGTCAAAAAGCAGGTGTCTGCCATGTGGGGAGCAAGGGTAAGGAGATGATGGGGACAAAGTAGAGAAGTAGCAGGGGCCAGTCATGAAGTGCTGTAAATGCCTTGCCAATGAGGTCACAGGTCATACCAGGAAGCCCCGCCTGGTTCAGGGATTGGGCATGGCAGGGTCCTGTGTAAGGGTGGACCCGGGGCAGGGGAGGAAGACTCAGGGCTGAAGTCCTACATGAGCAGTCAGGCGCTGGTTGGTGGGACCGGATGACAAAAGATGCTTCATTCCTTGAACCCTTCCCCTTCAGCTAGGTCTCAGCTGGCTGAAGTCTCCCCTGCTGGGCAGTGCTGACATCCTTTTCCAAAGGTTCTGGAGCTGAGCGGGCCTTTTCTATATAGGGTGCAGTGGATATCTGTTAGCCTTTTCCACCAGACACTGGAGGATGGGGAGGGGCCCAAGGGATCCTGGGGTGAATGCTACACCTTTCTGTTCTCATTGCTGCCTGGTGATTCCATGGCAACTGACCATGTCCCCTCAGTGGTCAGACTGGCAAATAATCATAGTAATAGTACCAATGGCTAACACTTAAGGAATGGCTACACTGTGCCAGGCACTATTTAGGTATTTGTCCCCATTTTTCAGATGAGGAAACTGAGGCACAGTGTGAAGTCAGTGACGGAGCCTACCAGGCTTACTCACAAACTCTTGTTGACACAAAAACTCCTTTTCTTTTCTTTCTTTTTTTTTTTTTTTTTGGTACCGGAGATCGAACTCTGGCCCTTGCGCTTGCAAGGCAGGCGGTGAAACCACTGAGCTAAATCTCTGGCCCAAAAACTCCTTTTCTCCATGCTACCCCTGTGGCATGAGAGGCAAGAAAAGCCAAGCAGTGTTTTGTCTTCCATGCAGGAGGAACCAGCACCATGCCCTTGATAGGCAGATCCTTCCCAGGTACCCTGAGAGCAGTGGAGGAAAGTTTCTGAGAGGCTTCTCAGCCCCTCTCCACCTTCAGACCTCGGGCCTCTGTTTTTCTGGCCAAAGTAAGTCAGGAACATATCTCTGTCCCTGCTCCAGAGTATGCCCTGCCTCCTGAAAGACAGGCTAGCTCTGTGGCAGAGTGGACCCCAGGCCCTTCGGTTCTTCTCGGGGTCTGGAGGGAAGGGGGGATTCAGCACCTGTGAATTCTGGACCAGACTTGTCTCACCACTTTTGGTATGAGTGGCTGGTGGGTTGGAGGGGCCATCACATGGACCCCGCGGCAGAATCTGAAGTGTTTCAGAAGCCTACAGATGGTGATGTTGGCAGTGGCGAGTCAGGCATGAAGCATGGCTCTGCATCTATTCTGGGAAGGACAAGTTGCTGTCCCCCTCTTACCTGGAAGGGTCTGATGTAATTGTTTTCCCCTACACTGGTCCCCGTGGGGCTTGGTTCAGGGGTTGGGATTGGTTACTAGCAAACAAGCCACAGAGCTTCAGCTAGAGCGACTGGTGCTTTAGCCTGTGCATCACTCTGCCTCAGCCACCTTGGCCACTTTGCTCTTGAGCCCATTGCCAAGCAGCAAGCTGGCTGGGCCTGAAGGACTATTGACCTCCATGGAGGGTCATGGGGCCACTTGATAACCAAATTTAGTCTACAGACTGCGCCCTCTGGTGGGTATTTTTGGTACTTCAGCGATTCCTTGACCAGCCCCAGCCTTTGGCCTCCAGGACTCAGAAACCCCTGACCCTTCCGAGCACTGTTATACACCACCCAAGAGTGGATCTAAATTCTGACCTCATGGCATCCTTCCTGTCACATATTTTCTCCTCACAGGCAAGTCTCCTTTGTGCTTCTTGTTTCTTTTCCTGACTCAGAGATCACTTGATTCATTCTAGAAGCATTTTTAAGCCCTTACTCATTTCACTCAAATTCAATGAGCAGCAAGAGACATAGGCCCTATGCCCTAGTACTTAAGGTTTATTGGGAGACATGGATCTTCACTAAAGAGTCCACAGGTAAAAATATTTCTGTGCTTCTAAGATTTTACCTCAGATACACGTATTATTTTGATTCAGAAATGCGTAAGAAGGTAAACAAATGTGTATTAAGAGACTGTAATAGGTACATGCAAGAAAAACTTCCAGACTCATCAAGAGACTGTCAAGGGGGCTCTGAGCTAAGACGAGGCCTGACATTTAGGCTGAAAGTAAGGAGGGTACAGAGAGACAGTGCTCAAAGTCCTGAGGTAAGGGTGGGGGTAGGAATTCACTCATCAAAGGAATGGAGAGGCATCCAGGTGCCTGGAGCCCTGGAAACAGCAAGGTTGAGTGCTCACACTGGATTGTGTGGCTTCCAAGTCTGTGAGATGCCACTGAAGGCCGTTAAGCAAGTCTGTGTGTTCAGGTTACTTTGGCTTCTGAGGAGAGTAGACCAATATTTTGGGCTCTGGCAGGAGGGGCAGGATTAGAAGAGGGAGCCTGGTTAGGAGGTGGACAGTCACGTGGGATGGGGTGGTGAGTGCTAAGTAGGAACAGAGAAAGAAGAGCTACATCCAAGATGTCCAGGAGCTAGAACAAATAGCCATGGAGTAGATGTAGGTCCAGAGTGGCTCTGGTCCAGGAAAACCCCAAGGTTTCTAGCAGGAGGAGCTGACCTGGTAGTGGGTGAGATGGACAGGGTATTGGTGAGGCAGAGCTTGACACCCTCCAATTGGGTAGCATGCTGATGCTTGCAGAAACAGAGGCTCCCCCAGGCAGTGGCATGTGTGGCTGGAGAGGAGGACACAGCTGGGTAAGACAGGAATGCAGCCATCACTCCAGCCCCACCCAGTGCCTCCTCCTTGTAGAAACAATGCTGTTCTTGACCTAGAAAGATGTTGATATTCAAGGATACAGCTCTGGCTACAGAGCTCATGACACTGAAGGTTTTGTGTCATGGAACTCCCACCCCCACCTGCCATTCTTGGAGCTGGTGGGCTCTTTTCTCACCTTGTGGGAAACTGCTCTTGCTAAGCAAGCAGCCAGTCTTAAGTGGCATGCAAACATTAAGCATCATTCCTTGAGAAGGGCAATTGGAAAGTAAATAGTACATTGATTAAGAGTGAGGCTTTGGAACCAGCAAGAATGGGGTGAGATTCAGCAAGGCACATGCATGTATCTGAGGACAGGCCAACATGCCCGACTGAGTTCAGGGCAGGGGCCAGGGATCAGCAAAGTGGGAGGTGACTGGAGCTGGGAGTCCACTGGGAGACAGAGCAGCCACCCTGCTCACCACCCAGCAGTAGGCCTAGGGGCAGGGATGACACGTACCCAGAGGAGGCAAGTGACTGTTACTCTCCTCCTGCCTGAGGCCTCACCCGAGGTCTTACTGCTCCAGCACTTTGGACAGTCACAGCCTGGGAAGGAGCCCAGGGTGGGCTGCAGACCAGGTGCTGGATGCCCATCTGTTCTGGTTCCTCAGGGCCTCTTGGCCTGGAACATTTGGTAAAGACCATTAAAATTAAAAAGCCAAGTGGCTGGGGCTCAGAATGCCAGCTCGTTTTCCCTGGCATGGTGGGTCCTGTTTAAGGGAACCAGCTGGCATTAATGGCACACAACTCATCATGAACAGCAGCTAGCGATCAGAAAAATCAGAGCTAATAATCAAGTTCGGGAAAGATAATGAGATATGGAACAATCACTGCTGAGGGTCCCATGGGGTCTGTTTTAGCAGCCTCCAAATAAGCTACAAAATAGAAATTAACCAAACAGGGGCTCCATTTGGGCAGAGGGGGAAAACAAACAAGGTACAGATTTGCACAAAAATTCCTTGTGTGGCCAAGCACAAGCCTAGAACCCATGGGACATTAGCTACAGCCTGAAGGAAGCCTGGGACCTTCTCTGAGTGTTCCTGTCTGACTCTGACCAGCAGGCCAGTGGGGCTTCTAGGAGGAGGAGGAAGAGGGAGGAATGCTTTCTGACAGCTTCAGGGCAGGGGAGGCCAGAGGAGCCCTGTGACCAAGACCTTATTTTCTCTCTTCTTCCTTCCCTCTTATGCTAGACTTCCACTTAGGGTAGAGAAAAGAAGAGTAGCTACCGCTGGACTATGGCAGTCCTTGCCAGTGGGAAAAATGGCCAGCCAGGAAGGGGACAGCTTTGGGGAAACAGGGGCAATACTGTATGTTACAAGCAGTGGCCTCTATTCCTCCTTAGCCCTGCCTACCCTTAAGAAGCTATCGTGGGGAAGCTTCCAGAAAGCTCCAAGTCTCCTTGCTGGCTTCCGGGATGGCTCCTTCTCTCCCCTCCCCCAGACTTCCTCATCTTTCCAAGGGAGTGTGTGGGGCTTTGAACACAAGCCTCTGACTTCTAGCTGGTGGGCGTGGGGTGGCTTAAAGACTATATCTTCTGTTTTCCATTTTTCTGGATCCCTGCCTCAGGCAGGCCTTTGCCAGGGGGTCTCTTGCTATGCAAGCAGCCAGTCTTAAGTGGCATACAGACATCACAGAATCATTCCTTGAGAAAGAGGACAATTGGAAAGTAAGTAATGAACAGTTGGGATTGAAGCTTTGAAACTAGCAGATCTGGGTTCAAATCCTAGCTTTAACTGCCTCAGCATAGGTGTCTATCCTCCGTGAACTTATTTAACCTCTCTAAACCTGTCTTGAATCTGCGAAAGGGGGCAGCATTAAGACACTGCCTGTGGATATGTGCTGAGCAGTGCAGAGGTCTCCCAGACCCCAGCTTCCTCCCGGCTGTCAGCATTAGTGCTAGACCGTGTGTCTTCTGGCGCCCTACATGGTTTCCCTCTCTGCACTTTTTTTTTGGATGTCAGGGGGATTATTTCTGAGTATCTCTGAGCTGGGGAGACCTGGACATGGTGAGCTCCATCTGTGTGGCCGAGCAGCAAGGCCAGGGTACCTGGCAGTGCCCCCACGCCTTTCCCCACTATACCAGTGAAGTGAGACCAAGCTGCTGCATGTCCCCAGCAGTAAGGACAAGGATTGGACTCTGAACATCAGCATGAGGCTTAGAATGGAGGCCGAACTTCTGAAGCCAAGCAGAGAATTGTTAATGACTTACTTGCCTAAGGTCCCACTGCTAATAAGTGGCACTGGTGTAGAACCCAGACGGGGACCCAAGAGAACAGGTGTAACCTGAGTTGGGGGGCAAGTCCAGACATAGGGACCTGCACAGGCAAAGGCCCCAAGACCAAAGTATCTGGTGGACACAATGTGGCCTTGCAGGGCTGCATGTAGGTTCTGGGAGTGGAGAGTGGGGTGTGGACAGGGTTGCACCTCTTGTGTAGGCTCTGGGACGAAATTGCAGAGGGAAGACGACCCCTCATTGCTCTTCCTCTGGTCCTACCCCTTTCCTCCCACAAGCCACTGCAGCACCATATGCTTTTTCTTTTCTTCTTCTTTTTTTTTTTCTCCTTTCCAAGGTGGGCCTTAATGTCCTGGTTCAGAAAGCCAACAAGTTCACCCCAGCCACCCGCCTTCTCGTCCAGAGATTTGTGCCATTCCCTGCTGTAGGTAAGACTCGCATGGTGCGCAGACATCCTTTCGCTATCCGTGGGTGGGGGGCTGCAGTTGGATGGACAGCTGTCCACACTGGGGATCCCCCAATGCCTGTGGGCTCCAGCTGGGGAACTGAAACAAAATGTGTGGAGAGAGAAGAAGGGATGACAGGGGCCCACTGATCAGCTCCATGCTGGGGATTTGGTTTTTAGCACAAGGATTCTTCACCTGGGGGTCCCTAGACCGCCAAGGGTCAGTAAGTAGCATGCAGTGGATCTTCTGAACTTGGGAAAAGTTATACTAACTTCTACCTAAAATTTAACATTTCCTTCTGCCATAAGTGTACCCAGCAAACCACAGTAAGAAGCAGGACCTCTGGTTTTGTCACCAAGAGAAATCACAGATACTTTCATATCATGTCACAGTTGCTACTCAGAGACCTTAAAATATCACTTATGCTCAACACTAATCTAAAATTATCATATTTAATACATTGACTGCTAGATCATATTTTTAATTTGTTACTTAAGAGCACATCTCTTAATCACAATTTAAAAATTTCTGATAACTTGTTTCAATACAATCCTTTTGTAGTCCTGTGAATTTTGTTTTATGCATTTAGAAAAATTATTCTGAGAGAGGTGCGTAGGCCTCACCCGACTGTCAGAGGGTTCCTGGCACAGAAGAAAGTTTGAGGTTCTGCTGGGCCCTGGGGTTGCTGTAAAGCCCAGCCTGATTTTAGAAAGCCTACACCCCCCCCCCCCAAAAAAGAAAAAGAAAGCCTACACCCTAGTGGAAAGTTTTCCAAAAAGAAATACACATATCCTGAGTTCGATCCCCAGTACCAAAAAAAAAAAGGAAATAGACAATGTCAAAAGCAGTACAAAGCAGTGCACAGTTAGTCATCAGAAGAGAAGCATAGGCAAATGCTTCAACCCTAACCAGAGTTCCTTCCAGCTGGTGCCCGAGGACAAGAGGGACTGGGCCCAGCACAGGGCCTGAGAACCCCCAACCTCCCTGATGCCAAGGCTCAATGTGATGAGCCCAGAGTCAGACCCAGAGTCACCGCCTTGACTCCAGTTGTCACTTGAGGGCTCAGCTCCCCATCTGTAAAATGCAGACACCAGTACCCACCTCCTACAGACAAGAGCCCTGGAAGGAGCAAGTGAGGCCATAGACCAGGTTCCACTGATTGGCAAGTGCTTTGGAGCACCCAAGAGCCCGTGAGAAGGTAGGAGGTCTTTCCTGGGCAGCCCCACCTCCTCCATGGCCCAGAGGCTCATAAACTAGAACTAACCACCCAGCTGAGCCTCAGCCGACCCAGATAATTGCTATAGCAACTCCACACTTTTAATGAACTCTCAGCTATTTCTGTCATGGGCCACTAATGGAATAACTCTTTAGATCTGACTTTGTTACAGGGCCTAATTGAGCAAACGTGGCTATCCAACTGGTGTTTGTGGCCTTTGGGGCTGGAGGGTCAGAAGCAGCTTGAGGAAGGGCAGCTCTTAGCTGCCCTGGACTGGATCTAGGACTTGGCATAGATGTAATCTCTCCTTGCACCAAGCTTCAGATAACAACTTTGCCACGGGCCCATTCCAGGCCTGCTCTGCCACCATCTTGCTATGTGACCTTGAGGTGGTCTTAATCTGTCTGGGATTCCCTCAAAAGGAAAAGCCCTTCCTGTGGTCTGAGCCTTGTTGGATTGCCTCTCTTGGGCTCTATTCAGATTCCTCTCTCATCTCAGCCCTCTTTCTCACAAGTCCAGCCACTGTTGGGCATCTTGAGATGTCCCCATCCCAAGCCAGTTTGCAATCCTGGTGGTCCTGGCTCACCAGAATCTGATGAGAAGTACATCCTTTCTACAACCCAGGCCCACCTGCAATTAGGCATTTGCCAACTCCCCTTGCCAGTGCGGCCCCAGTGCTTTGTGAGACAAAAAGTCATGCCACTCCCCCACCAGGCTCAAAAGTGTCCTGGTCCTCTCAAGCCATCGTCCAGCCCCTGCACTTGGTCCTCCTGCACCTTATCCTCCTTGCCCTGGCCAAGACTGAGCATCTCTGAGATGTGCTACAGCTGCAGGGGGACTCAATGAGCTATGTGTGCATGTGGGAAGTAGGCGGAGGCAAATAGAGATGAGCATGTGAAGCCCTGTTGTTGGTTGTTGGGAGAGAGAGTGGGAGAGAGAGAAAAAGACCATAGTAAAAGGGGACACTTGAGCTGATAGGGGTCCTAAAGAGGCCTGTGTGCCCTGTGCTCAGGCCATATCCACACCCACTCTCTCTCTTCTTTTTTTTTTTTGAGACAGGGTCTCATTATGTAGTTTAGGCCAATCTTGAACTCACTTTGTAGCCCAGTCAGGCCTTGAACTGGCAGTGATCCTCCTGCCTCAGCCTCCAGAGTGCTGGGACAACAGCTGTGCACCACCATGCCTGGCTCACACCCACTCTCTTGAGCAGGCTGCAAACAAGGACTCAGGAATCCATTGCTTCTTCCCATGGCTCTGCCAGCCCCTACCCAGCCTGCAGCCTGGGAGGTGGGAAGAGATGTCTCCTCTCTGAGCTCCGTGCTGTTGACAGAGAGGCCTGAAACACTTAGGAACAGGATGCCTGGTCCCTTTATTTGCTGCTGGGACCTCCTCCACAGGCCCCGAAGACCTCCCCTGGGTTTGCAGAGGCCAGGACTCCCAGGGTCTACCCAGCTCCCCTCCCCTCACTGGTCCTCACTGTGTGCTGTGAGGCCCCAGAGGCAGTGTGTGGCATCCTCATTTTATAGGAAAATAAGCAAATTGAGACTTGTTGAAAGGTTTTTTTATTAAGTTTATTGGTACATTTTAGGTATACAATACAGTTACATTCATCATTGGGATTTTGTATCTTTACATGATGCATCTTGGTTCTTATTTTTCCCCCATTCCCCTGCCCTCCCTTCACCCCCTCCACCCTTCCCTATTTACAAAGACTTTGTTTCCATTTTTTCCTTTTCTCATGTTTTTTTCCTTTCCCTTCTTTCCTTTCCCCTACTCCTCCCACTTCCCTTGCTCCTTTAGACCTTTTCTTCCTATTTCAATTATTAATTATACATTTCAATCCTTATTTACACTTTTAGTTTTTCACACTAGAGAAACTATTCGGTATTTACACATGTGTGTCCTGTTTATTTCACTGAAGACTATCGCCTCAATGTGCATCCATTTAGCTATAAATGTCTCTAGTTTCTCGTTCTTTATCGCTGAGTAGTGCTCCATTTTATAAAAAAAAAAACATCTTCTTTATCCAGTCTTCTTTATCCATGGGCAATTGGGCTGTTTCCAAGTTTTAGCTATTACAAACTGTGCCACTATAAACATGGGTGAGCATATATCGCTGTGGTATGATGCTTTTAATTCTTTTGGGAAGATACCCAGCAGGGGAATAGCTGGGTCAAATGGAGCCTCTAGTCCTAGTTCTTTGAGGTATCTCCGTACTGATTTCCACAGTGGTTGCACCAGTCTGCATTCCCACCAACAGTGGAGAAGAGTTCCTTTCTCTCCACACCCCCGCCAGCATTTGTTATTGGTTGATTTCTTCATAGCAGCCCTTCTTTCTGGGAAGAGGTGGAATCTCAGTGTTGTTTTCATCTGCATCTCTCGAATGACCAGTGATGTTGAACATTTTTTCATATGTTTATTTGCTGCTTTTACTTTGAGAAATGTCTGTTCATTTCAGATGCCCATTTTTGGATTGGGTCTTTATATTTGGCAGGTATTTTTTTTGAGTTCTTTATATATTCTAGATAGTAGACCTTTGTCCGAGGAACAGCTGGTAAAATTTTTTTCCCACATTGTAGGTTGTCTCTTAGCTCTGTTGGTGGTTTCTATTGCAGTGCAGAAGCTTTTTAGTAAGATGAGAGCCCAGTTGTTGATTCTTTGTGCTAGTTCCCATGCTACTGAGGATTTGTTCATAAAGTCTTTTCCTATGACAAGGTCTTCAAGAGTTCTACCTAACTTATCTTCCAGCAGAGACTTGCTGAAAGTTATATTGAGCTGGTCCAAGCCCAGGCTCTCAGGCTCAGCCCAGGGACATTCAAGCCTATGTGGATAACCCCTCTGGGGCTGAGAAACTGAGGATGTGTCCAGAGGTGGCCGAGGCTACTCAGTGTCCTGCCAGGAGCATTCTACCTCCAAATTTGCCCCTGACTTGTAGAGCAGGAATTATGTGAGTATGTGTGTGTGTGTGTGTGTGTGTGTGACTGATGCCTGTGCATGTGTATGCTGAGTGTGTGGGCAGCCCCTGTGGCCACCTCTCTCCCTCAAGGTGGTTTTAGAGCAGTGCTGTGCTCCTGGTCTAGAACAGCAGTCATGTGGGAAATCTCAGTTTCTATTTATACGTGGAGATGTTAGGAAAGACGGTGAGCCCGGAGCATGTGTGCTGGCATCGGAATCGATTGGGGACTGGTAATTAATTTGTTTAGACCTTAATTAATTCTCCAGTTCTTTCTTATTTGTGGACTGTCACGCTTAATTGTGTTCAGGAGCTCGAGCTCAGAGCAGGCCCTCCATTAATTGACGTGTGGTTGCTGCGAGGTGGAAGTTAATGGTTTGGGAAGCTGGGCAAACAGTGTAATTAAAGGTCAATAGAGGAGACATTGGAAAAATGCACACCCCCAGGTCCGGCTGCCAGTCTCCCTGAGCAGACTTCATTTTAGAAGAGGCAGTCCTCACAGACAGCCTTTCTGAGAGGCCATGGGAAAAGGTGGGTGGGTGTCACCAGCAGGAAGAGCACTTGGTGGGGGTCCCAGGAGGGGCACTGGCCAGAAGAATAGATACACTTGTTGTCAGGATGGCAAGTGCTTTGGAGTGGTGAAGGCCCTGGGGGTGACCTCTAAAGCTAGGGCCACAGGCTCTGTATCTATGTGTGAAGGTCACCGAAGGCTGCCTGGCTCTGTCCCCAAGGGGAAGCGAACAGCAGTGAGAGCCATGTGCTAATACAGACCCCATCCTGATGGTGAGCTTCTGGTGGGGGAAGCCTGAGCCT